GAAAGTATAATATAAATAAAATAAAGATATAAACAAAATAACATTTCGATGTTAACTGTGTTAAATATTATTCTGATAATTGTACTGATAAATCAAAATAAAAATAAGCATTAAGTATGTTATTAATTATATTAATAAAGTTAATTAAATATAATAGCAATAAATAATTATTTTATTTTTATAAAAAAATAGGGAAATGTAATTTGGAGATGTTTGTATTAAAGCTTGTGCTATATGAGTTGACTTGCTTGTAAGTTTTTGTAGATATTTCTATTTTGGTTGTGTCAATTCTATCAATCATCATTATGCACATGCTTATATATTCAAAGTTTATATTATAATTCTCAAATAAGACAATTTTTCCAATATTAATTTACGGGTTTTAATTAATTTTTTTACAAAATGATTGGTTGATTAATTAAACTAATCAGTCAATTAATTGTTTAATTAATTAATTTTATTTTACCATCCAACCTATAATTGACTAGCTAGTGAGGAATCACTAATCATCCATACTATCAATCCAAGGAGTCTACATCACTAATCATTTTGAAAATTTATATTATCAATGAGTTATTTTTTCATATATTTCTAAAATATTACAACTATACTTAATTACATTAAGAGGAGATTTATTAAATAAATAATATATATGGTATTATATAGCTAGTATAAATTATAATTTTTGAAAACAATTTTTTTTTATAAAAAAATTAATATTTAGTGGCTAAAAAATCTTTATCTCATAATTAACAACGCTCGTAATTTGATTTAAATTGAATCCAATAAATCGTTCTGTATTGAATTGAAATTTATATAAAATTTTCAATTCATTATATAAATTATCAAAAAAAAATTAATTCATTTTTTAATTCAAACTAATTTATAAAGTAAAAAATGTGTTAATTCATTAATTTTAAATAACGGAAATTTTTTATATTAATGTATAACAAAATGTTGTCGTTTTGTAATTAAATTAAGCTTGAATCTTATATATATATAAAAAAAAAAAATTATAGACAAAGTTAATTTATTTCAAACATAATTACCATAAAATAAATTGTCCAATTATATATAATTATATAAATGTATATATAATTTTTTTAAATGTGGAAAGCAAGTCATAATTGGTGCATAAGCTTTAATATAGATAAGTATAGAGCACCATCAAATAAACAACCGAAAAAATGGAGGCATGTGACATAAAGCTATAATATATATGTATATATATATACATATATGAAAAGCAAATATATATATATGTATATATATATAGTAATGGAGTTCGAAAAGTCAAGAAACATAATTAATCATAACCTTTCTTTTGATATTCACATAGTAAGAAGAATCTAATTACCACCTAACACTAATGATTTTGTTTTAAAGTTGACTTCTCTTTCTCTTATTGCCTTAAAGTTCATCTCCATTTTCGTCTCAACAAATCAACCAAAAAGCTAAAACTTTAAATTTAATTTTGTTACACATTAATCTTTTGGGCCATCGTGGTACCTAACAAGTATGCATGCACAGCTAGCACATATAAATACATATATATATATATATATACAATCATTGTTATATCTTTCATTACTTTTTTTTTTATATATATTAATTAGATATTCTTTGCCTAAATAAATGGGTATTCATGCATATTCACCGCACCCACTTACCCACTTCTCAATATGGTAAAATTAATGTACAACTTATAAGTTAAAAATAATTATTAGTGGGTTAAAAACTAAAGTTAAAGAACTCTCACTCTCAATTATATGGTAATAAAATTCAAAAGTTGGCCATCAACACTATTTTTGTCTCGACCCGAGTGATTCATCAGACTCAGTCCTACTCGACTCGTTTTTACACACCCACTATGTTATATATATATATATAATATATGTGTGTGTATAGTTTCAGATTTTTCAGCAAATCGAGCCACGTTCACATACGGAGACAAACAAACCCCCTCTAACACCCACTTTTTTTTTTTTTCCTCTCTTCTTGTCCTCCATGGAGCATAAATATGAAAACTCCAAGAGCCTTGGAAATCGAGTTAGTGGAGTTATTTGCATTTCCCCACAAACATGCCCTTACACTCCTTGGACCCATCATTTTCAACCTTCACTTTAACAATAACTTAAGCTTAATCCTCAGTTATAATTATTCAATATATATATATATATATATATACTGCTTAATGTGATATTGATAAAATAGTTTATATCATGGTTGATAAATTTCTATAAACTAGCTATATGTATATCTTTATGTATATATATATATATACACACACGCAGAGACATATTATATAAAGAAAAAATCCAAAAAGCTATAATCTCGCCTTTATATACGACCCATCATGTCCCCTCATCGCCCTATATCTCACCAAGCCTCATGCACTCTCTCTCTCTCTCTCTCTCTCTCTCTCTCTCTCTCTCTCTCTCTCTCGCTTCCTCATTTGCTTTGCTCTACCTATTTATAATTTTTGAGCTTACGCATCCACACACACCATCTTTCTCTTTTGCTTTCTTCTTCCTCTCCCTAACTTAAATACCAGCCATGATCCGCAGCCACCGGCACGGATTTTTCGACTCCGGTGGCGGCGGCGAACGGACAACAAACGGTGACGACAACGACGGCGACGAGCGGTCGCGGCGAGACGGGGAATGGTTCTTTCGTAAATACGGGTGAAAACTGATGGCAAAAGAACAAAGAAAACCAAAAACAAAAAGCTTTGCAATTTTCACTCTCCTGATTTCTTTTATGCTTTAGAATTGGGAGAGGGATATTATTGCATTGCGGGGAATTGAGGGTAGCGGTCCGATTTTTAATTTACTTTTAACTCGCAGTACCATTTTCTTTTTCTTCGACTTCAAAATTAATTTACCTTTCTCCTCTTTTTTTTTTTTTTTACTAAATTCCAAGTTTGACCCTCGGTCGACGTCGTTTTTACGTATATGCCCTTAGTTTTTAGGTTGAATTAAATGGGGGATGTAAGAGATGCATACGAGGTAGCTTCTTCTTTTTAAGTTATTTGGGTGTTTTTCCTTTCATGGGTTTGGATTTGTTTGTAATGCTACTGGGCATGCATCGCTTACACACACCTATCGTGTACTAATTTGCTTTGCAACGAAGCATATATTTGATTATCACAAATTTGGGTATTTGAATTAAGTTGTGTGCCAAAAGTGTTACAAAAAAAAAAACATATATTACACGTGTGTATATAAATACTGCTGAATGAATCGTACGTAAACTTTTGAAGATGAGTACAATAATGAGGAGACAAATTTTACAGCCTTCAGAATTTGCAGTTAAAATTAAGTTACCAGACGCACTGAAAAAGTTGGCAGCCTCCAAAATTCCTTTCAAGTGCATCGTTTATCAATCTCTGCCTTAAACCTTACTGATTTTTTAATCTTTGTTTAAATTGGTTTTTATCACTATTTTCAGTCAAATTAATTTATATATATATTTTTTTATGTGTTAGTTGATATGATATTTATTTACACGATTATAAATTAAAAGATAAATACGTGTCGCGGTTGATAGAAAATTAATTAGAGAGATTAAGTTAAAATTTTTTTAAAAGTATATAAATTAACGAGGTAGGTAACAATTAAAGTAAAAATTAAAAAACATAGTAACGAAATCAATTATTTTTTGGTAGGTGAAAGAGCAGCTGACGAGTCCTTTTCAAGCTACAAGTATGCGTTGCTTGTGACTGTGAGTCACCGCTTTTATTTATTTTTGGGGGGGGGGGGGGGGGGTGAAAAAAATTTACCTTTTTCTTTTTTACTCTCATGAGGTTGGTAAATAGCACAGTAAAGTTTTATCTTTTTGTTTGTCTTTTAACACCCCTTTTTTTTTAACATGGTGAGTAAATATCAGGTCGCTAAATCTGCTTTACAATAGCAACGAGGTAATTTTTTTGGAGGAAAAAAAATTACCATCCTATTTTAATTTATTATTATTATTTTAATTAAAAAAATATTAATTTTCTTAAAAAATATTTTTTTTTATCTAAAATCGTAATAAATATATCGATATTAATTTAATTTTATTATCATAAATTTATAAATAAATTATTATTAATAAAGTAACGAACGTGATATTCACATAAAACATAATAATTTTAATAATAATATCGAGCCAATTGAGAGTTCGATAGACATTCTCAAACTTGAGGTGTCAGTATATACATATTACCATGTGTTTAATATTTTTGTAATAAATTTAGTATTAATTATTTTTAAAAAATATTACATAATTAAATATTTATTAAAATCTAAGAATTGTACGAATTTTTAAGAAAAATATGATAAATTTGTAAAATTTACTTAATAAAAATTCCACACGTAGTTCAAATCAGAAGTTATAATTCTAATAAGATTTAAAACAACTAAAATCTTATTATAAAACCCTACGTGAAATTTGATAAATTTATTTTATACTTTTATTAATTTTGATAAGATATAAAGTATAATATAGTGTTACAAATTTTATTATCTACAGTTAATTTTTATCATAAAGTAATAATTTAACATTATAGTCCAATCCGGTCAACTACTAGTCCATAGAGCCCTATTTGTGTGCGTTGACTTTAGGAGGATGTGTACCGGGTCTCATCTGTTATACCAAATGGGCCTGCAACAAAGTAGATGGGCCCTGCGTCTCTCCACACTGAGCCAATTTTTTAAGGTTTATTATTAAATTTGTTTTAAAATTTTGATTTTATCATTTTTTTTTTCGTTATAATATTATATATATATTTTAAATTTTTATTTATTATATACCAAAAAAATATTAAAATAATAATAAATATTTATTAAAAATTTTCGAACATAACTTAATTATTTTAGTTTTTTTTTTCCATAAGAATAGATAAAAATTAGACTTTTAAAATAAATATAAAATATAAATGACCAAACTATAATAAAAAATATATTAAAATTAAACTGTTATAAGCATTATTTTTGGAAATTAATTAATTAATCAATTTATTTTTTCAATTACAAATTTGCTTTTTTATTAATTGTCTTATGACAAATAAGATACCTTTTTACAGTTTGCATGTAGTAGCCCTACGTAAGTATTAAGTCAACAAGTCAACCAAACAAATTTCCCTACAGTGCGAAAATTATAAAAAAAAAGTTCTAAGAATTATAATGTGTTTTTTCCACAGAATTTTAGAAAAGTCAAGCCGCCATTGACAACCGATCAATTATCATTTGAGTTTACTTTCTCAGGCAGGAGGACTTGGAGAAGAAGACAAGAAAGGATTTGGAGGGATTGGAAGATGCTCAAACTTTCCCTCTAACATTTCCACAACTTCGGCTATGGAAGGTCTATCTGATACCTTAATTTGTATACACCAGAACCCCACTATACACAATTTTCTGACTATCTCTTCCACAAAATCACTTACATTCTCAACCTCTGAATCTCTTCCTTCACTCAGCGCATCGTAGACCCATGAAGGCAACTCTAAATCCCTTGTCATCTCTCTCACATTCCTTCTTCCTCCTGCAGCAATGTCCAACAACAACATCCCAAAGCTATAAACATCTGATTTTTCCGAAACACCGCTAAAATTTCTCGATAGAACTTCTGGAGCCATGTATTTTGTTCTTGCTTCTCTTGATAGAAAACCGTAGTTCTTCGATGTGAATTTCGTTAAACCGATGTCTGAGATTCTGGGGACAAAGTTTTTGTCAAGCAGGATGTTTTCTGGCTTGATATCTAAATGATTATGATAATGTACGTGTAAGTATTCGATTCCTCGAGCTACTCCTAACGCAATTCCATCGAGTTTCTCCCAAGTTAATGAGTTTATTTTTCCTCTCTTGGGAAATATAACCTCGTCAAGGGAACCATTAGTCATGTACTCATGGACAAGGGCGCGATTAGACCCCTCAATGCAGAATCCCACAAATGGTACCAGGTTGGGATGGTGAATTTTGGAGATTGTAGAAGAAATTCCATTGATGAATTCTTCTGCAGAGAGATTGTGATCATCGAGAATTTTAACAGCAACTGAGCCACCACCAGGAAGTTGTCCTTTATACACAGATCCAAACATGCCTTGGCCTAGCTTTTCTCTGAAGTGGTCAGTCATGGCAAGTATATCTTCATATGAGTATCTTCTAAGCTGATTTTTCTCATTAGGTTTCCCCAAGTTAACATACTTTCCCTTTCTTAGTGTTCTGTATTGGTGGATAAGGAAGACAAACACAACTAGGGGAGCAATTATATATCTTCCAATGAGCATTAACCCTAAAAAGCACAAGTTAAAAGTTCATTGAGGATGCAGATATAATCAAAAGCTAATAAAATACAATCAGATTTCACGTGGGGTAACTGAAATCTCACTCACCGAAAATTAAGTATATGATACTTGTCAAGAGAGCCAAAACCAAGTGGAGAAGGTAGTTTTCTTCACCTGCAATGACAGTGTTAAGAAAATAAATTCCTAATATGCATACAATTACACAACATAAATAGTGAACCAATAAAAGATATAAGATTTAATTATAGTTAGACAAGTATGCTTATATTTATGGATAAAACCTGGACAAAATATCAAACTTTCCTCCTAAAATAATGCCTAAGATGTGCACAGTATATTCTTCATTATATATACAAAATATTTTCACAATCAAACTACATCAACAGACAGTAAGTAAACCTTGAATTACCTTAGCCCTATGGATAATCAAACATCTCAATTCTACATTCTAGTCTGGTAACAAGATTTGATACTAACAAACTCAGAAATCAAGATTTGAAAAGAAAAAAGGAAGTGAAACAAATTTATAAGAAAACTTACCGGAACTCTCGCATTTGAAGATAGAAAGTGTTTTATCAGTGTCAATGGAGTCCAAGACACAACCACGGCCAATTTCAGCGCAATCCCTGCACTCCACAGACCATAAAAGGTCGAACCCAGAAGCCAGCATCCTCTGGATAGTCTCGTAAGAAGGATTCTTCACATCCTCATAAACCACCGGAGCCTTTGAAATCACTGAGCAGAACTCAGGAACAGGATCGCCGAGAGTCACGATGCGAAAATTCCAGTAATGAGCGTAGAAAAAACTTGACGAGTTTCCAGCCAGACATGGAACTTCCCTGTAATCCGGGTCGCTGATTTTCTTCGAGCACCTGAGAAAGCTTACGTCCGTGTTGAGCAGCATCCCTCTGTATCGACTATCGAAGAAAAGTTCATCGATCGAGAGAGACTTGCTCGGGAGGCTGCATCTTCTGTCAGACAAATTAACATCCAGAAGGCGGACAATACGCTGGTCGTAAGAGATTTTCTTCACGTAATAGTTTCCTGAGTTGAATTCGAGGAGGGCTCTGTTTCTTTTGCAAGAGATTTCATAGTCGACATCGCCGCAGCCTACTGGGTCGGTGGTGAGGCGAAATGGGTAAGTGATGTTTGTGATTTCTCCGCAAGAAGATGAACAGATCTGTTGATTAAGTGGCCTTCCCTTGGTTTCCATGGCGGACAAGAAGAAGAAGATATGAAATAGAGCAGTGGGGAGTGGTGATGGTTGTTTGTTTTTCATGGCTGGAGTTTTATGAAATGGTTACGGAGGTGAGATTTTAGAGCAGAGGAGGAGATTACGTTTGGGGAAGAAGAAGATGATCTGTGTAGTATTTAATTTGGTTTCTGTTCTGTGTTTCTTGACCGCCATGGTTGACACAGGGTCGTCTTGGTAAAAGACTTCGATGTTGAGAAAAGTCTTCGAAGCTTATCCATAATTACGCAGAAAGTGGTCCATAATTATGCAGAAAGTGGAGAGAACTTAACGTAAAGTACTTTCTCTGCGAGTGGAAGATACATGCAACGCCATTAATAAAAGTTAATTAGGTCTAGATTGTAGAAGATATTTCCGATCTATTGGAAGGTTTTTAACCCATCCTATTAGTATATAGATTTTACTATTTTATAACTATATTATGAATTATCCATATATAATTAATAATATTTAATTTAAAGGATTTAAATTTTACTTATTCATGTATTAATATATTATAATAATTAAGTACGAATAATAATGCATTATGGTAGGAGCTTCCTTTATTTTTTTTTTATTTCAAGAAAAAAATTTATTTGGATGTAAATTATGTAGTGAAATTGGATCCTGTTGGGCCTCTATATTTACATTTATGCATATAGATATTTATATATGCATTTATAAATATAGTAATGTGTATATTTGTATTTATACTTTTATATATATATATATATATATTGGTTGGCACTGATAGATCAAATATGAACCTCTCTTGCCTTGCTCACCTCTTATTTTTGTGCCAATCCAAATTTGTTCTTACCAATACTTGTTATTTAACAAAAAAAAAAAAAAAGATATCGGATTAAGTTGGATATGTCGAGTTAAGTATGTTCGGAAAAAAATATTATTCTTATTTTTTAATATCTATAAGATAATATTTTTATTAATAAATTTCGTTAATATAAAATTTATACATTTATAAATATAATAATATTTACATATTTTTAATATATATTGAGCTAACTTTAAATAAATTTGATAGGTCATATTTGAACTTACCTTGACTTACTTTATTTTATATTTTTTTGTCAATTTAAATTTATCGAACCAATTAAATTAAATCGGTTTAAGTAAAAAATATTATTATTATTTTTTTATTTATATAAAAAATTATAAATTCAAATCAAATTATATATATTTATAGATGGTTGGTAATAGAGTTTATTATAAGGGGGTATGAATGTATTACTTGATTATTTAAACATATATATTAAAAAAAAAAATGTTAAATTAAAATAGTAATATGTTGTTGATTAAAGTCGTAACATATTTACCCATTGAGAGTTAATTTAATTATTGGATATGATAGTTAATCCATCAAAATCAATCAACCTCGAGATTCGAAAATTGAACAGTAAAAATTACAATAATTACCACGATGGAAAAAAAAAAAAAAAAAAGTACATGAAATTAAGACAACAAGCGTGTCTTTTTTTTTATTATATTTTAATCAAACTTTTTTTAACAAAAAAACAAAAATAAAATTAATAAAAGTAAAAAATTTAAAAATAATAATAATAATTTAATCAAATTATAAAATTACTACCATTCTAGTTTCTTCCACTTTATTCCCCTCATTAATTGCAAATTTGACAGTGTGAATTATTATTATTATTATTATATATTATTTTGCTTTCATCTCTTCGTGGTCCCTCTTCTGGATTCACATGCACCCAAAAAGCAACAGGAAAAAGTGAAGCTCCCTCTAAATTTACAAATTTTTAATTAGAATTTGAACAATACCCATTAATTTTTATGCTATGAATTTTAAATCACGCACAAAAAATTTTACCATTGAGGAAACAGAACTAGAAGCATTTTCTCATAAGCCAAGCATGGTTTTTACATACAATAGGTGCCAACCCCTATTGCAAATACTAAAACTGTAAAAAAAAAAAAAAAAAAAAGAAAAGAATTTACAGCGGTTGAAAGGTTAAAAAAAAAAGTGCCCACGAAAGAGGGCCCTTCAAAAAAAAAAAAAAATGGAGAAGAGAAAAAGACAAAAATAAAAAAGCAGAAAAGGAGAAACTAAAAAAAGAAAAGGGTAGCCACATGGTCCAAACGGCCACCAACTCTCTGTAAACTGGAAAAGGTTAAAAAACGGTAAAAACTATCGTCGTCGTCGTTAAAAACCACCGTTATCACATCGTGATCATCATCGTCGACGTGATCGTGCACATCATCACCACCGCTATGGACTACTCCATCCAATAGACAACCTGGTGCGCACGCGCGCGCATCATCTCAACGGAAACCACGCAAGTAAATCCCCACCCACGCGGCGCCGGGTGACTGCCACGCGCTCGTCGGAGACCAGGGGAGTGCGGCACAGGGGACAGGTGAAATGGAGATGATCGAGCCAACCGTCAAAGCAATCTTTATGGAACACGTGGCGGCAATCGAGCATGCGCACGCGGTCCCCGTCCCTTAACGTGGACAAGCACACTACGCAATCGGAACCATCGCCGCGGCAGCAGTAGCGATAGGAGAAAACGCGGTTGATATTCAGTTGCTCGGCGAGGACGACGAGATTGGCAAGACCCGAGCCTAGGAACCGACCCTGGTCCGGGTCCGGGTCCAGTCGGGGCAGGAAGCCCATGGATTGGAAGATGCCGTGGAGAAATGAGCGGAGCTGGTTCATCGCGCCGGCGATCATGGCCACCACCAGAAGAGGGATTGAATCCGATGAGATGTCGTTCAGTTGGCTCTGTAATCCCATTTTCTTCTCTTTTCCTCTCGATGTATGTATGAATATCTCTATCTATCTATATACTTGTTGTTTTATAGCCAGAGGAAAGATATGTATACACGATTCTGTATGTGTGTATGTATAGAAGATGGAGAAGTCCGGGAGAAGGGGTAAGAGGAAGGAGAAGGTGCACATGTAAAATGAGAGGGCAGGAGGTTTTGTACCAGAGCGATGAGATTTGGGTTCTTGTGTGATGAAGGCCATGTGTGATGGGGTCCCATTTTTTAAATGGTATGTTTAGTATATTTGTAATGTTTATTATACTTAATTAAATCTAATCCAAATTATTATCTTTGTAATTAGTTTTTTTACCATTTAATTTTTATTATTTTGTACTTTATTTACATTTTTTTTTTAATTGACGATAATTTTTTTTTTTATTTTAATATTAAAAAATAAATTTATTTAATATCTGATAGTTCTGAATAAAATAGTTACAAAATATTAAAAATAATAAATTTATCAGTTCAAACGATGTAACACCGTTAAAATGACGTCATCTCTTTGAACAGCACATGCTATGTTGGCAAAACAATCACCTGAGTGTTGTCTTTTCGGTACGTTTTGAATTTTTTTAAAAAATTTTTCATTTAATATAAAGAAATTATTCGAACATTCGCACTTATTTTATTTATGATATATTTAACATTCATGATATATTAAAAATTAATTTTTATAAAAAAATTTATAATTATCTTTGACAATGTATTTCATTATAAACACTAAAAGCCTCAAAGTAAAGAAAGAAGTACACAAAGATAAAGTTAATATTATGTAATAAGTGATTATTTCAAGTACCAATATTGTTTTTAACGAGATCTTTAATGATAACATGCTTGAATATTTACAATTATAACTAGTGATACTAAACTTGATTAGTTCGTTTAATAAAATATTTTAATTTCGTTGATAGCTGAAGTTATAATTATAAAAAATATTTAAAATACGATCATTATCAATTATTGTATAACACAAATATTAAACTATTTAAAATAATAGAAAACTTTCAACTAAATTTTCAATTACTATTTACGTATTTTTCTTCAAAATATAACATAGTATATGTTAATTAAAAATCATACTCTATATCTCTACCATAAATTATGATTCGAATAATTGCTACACGAAAACTTATCATTGATCCCCATCGTCGTACGTTAATTGACATCGATCCGTGTTATAATCATTCATTAAGGTGATGAAAAATTGGGTCACACGTATCATTGATTCATATTGTGAAACAAAAGCAAATTGAAGGCAAATGACAAGAGAGAACCAAGCTTCAATTGGTGCAACTTGTAGGACTAGTAAAAATTGTGTCATATGTATATATAAAAAATGAAATTTAATTATAATTTTTAGTTAATTATTAATGATTTTTTAGATTATTTTTTTTGATTAAATCCCAAATTATGTTGTAAATTTTTTTCAAATCCGGCAATTATGATATTTTATGGTCACATCTCAATGATCTTCAATTTGTGTAAGAAAAAAATTCTTAATTTACTCCCAATCAATATGCACGGCAATTAGTATTCATAATTTGTATTAATTTAATATTTTTAAATCATTAATTTTTTTAATGGGTCAAGAAGAACAAGTTGTGTCATAAAATTTAGTATTAGATTATAAAAATAAAAAAACCTTTGAATTGTGAAGTATAAGAATATAACAAAATAATAGTATGGGTTGTTTTTTATTTTTTTTTTAAAATTAAATTATATAAGTTTAAATTAACTTAAAAAAACAAATAAATTATTTAATTAAATTAGATTAAAGTAAATTAATTTTCTCACTATTTAAAATTTTAAATTATATATCGTATAATCATATTCAATCTGAATAAAAATCGTGGTATAACATATCTTATTTATTTTATATATAATTAAATTAATAATATTTACGATAATTTATTTATTAATATATGTTATCATTATTGTATATTCATTAAATAAGATTAAAATTTTACTTTTACATCATGAAATTTGGTTTATTTAGTTTTGGGGGGCTGGGGGGGGGGGGGGGGAGGCGTGAATGTGATGGCATATTGAGACAAAATGATTAGAGAGTGAATGAAAGCACACGTGGATTGTGCGCCGCCGTTAGTCAAGGGTCAACACACTTCTTCCACAACCTGCCTGCCTAACTCAATTTCTATTTTTTACACTGCCTAATTTTTTTTCCAATATCACCCATATATTATTGCTATTTACCGGACTGTCCAAAAACTCATAATAAAATCTCATTATAACCCTAAAAAAATAAAATGTACCCAAATAAATTTTAGTACATCTTAAGATATATTAACTTTACTCGGATCAAAAGTTTTATACTAAGTTGAGTTAAGATTCGGGATGATCGTAGAATTAAAATTTATTAATTTATACGTCTTATTATATATTTTACGATTAACATTTCACGCGATCCCAATGGAATCATAAGCATGGCGCATGCCACAAACTTATATATAATTAGGCATGAGGATTACCCAAAAAGAAAAGGAGCACCAAAAATTGAAAATGCATTAAGTGATGACAGAGAGTTGATATTTGGTAGACCCACTTGCAAATCCATCCTCATATTTCCTTTTCTATCTTTAATGCTTCACCTGATTCTTTCGTTTCTTGCATTTATTCTTGTTATATACCACTTCCACTTGCTCCTCTGCATACGTACAAACATCCTTACCTATATATATATATATATATATATATATATGTGTGTGTGTGTGTGTGTATATGTGTATGTATGTATGCATACATTAATATTTACATACTAAATGATGTAAAGAAGATACCCTTTTTATTCTGCAAGGAAACGAGAATTCCCAGTTTCTCTGTGATGATATTTTGTTTTTGTTTTTGTTTTTTTTTTTAATTTTTAACGTAAATTAAGTCTACATATAATTTTTAATATGAATACAACAAAACAATTTTGAAAAAATAAAAATAAAATATAAGTAGTACGAAGAGTGATATAAAAATTAATTGTATGTTTGGAATAAATAAGTAAATAAATGGTTTATAAATTATATAAATGAAAAGTTAGACTAAAATTAAAGAGATGATATAGGGAGAGAGAAATGTCGCCCAATTATGAGACATACAAGTAGGTTTATTGAACTACTAAATTAGTAATTAATCACATTAATTAAATTAAATCCAACCGGTCATTTTGGACGGTGTAAGATTTAACCTAAAATATAATTAGTTTTTTAATTTAAAAAAAAAAGCCCTTTAACTTAGACAGGAAGACCAACTCAAATCAAGAAAAGATTAGGCAAGATCTGTGGTTATTAATATTCTAATTAGAAAAATTTGTAATAAAATATTTGGAGTGATTAAATAAAGAGATTAGAGGATTTGAGATGCAATCTCCGCCGTCCAAAAAGATCCGCGTATCGACCGACCATGCTGTTCAATGGTCTTGATGTGTAGCTCGAAGTCTCCCCTCCACACGCCTAACTTGTTATTTTAATTTTTGATTTCCATAAATTTTGTTGGTTCAATGCACATTGCTTAATTTCCTTTGTTTGCTAAAACACATACATACACATTAGTCGGCTTATGAATATTATAATATATTTAATATAATTTAATTATAAATTATTCAAATAAAATTATAGATAAAGGTCAATACATACTATACGTATTAAATATAAACCATACATATAAATAACAGGTTGATGCCTTCAACTCATCTCTCTGAAATTATTTTGATAAACAAATATATATATATATATATATGTGTGTGTGCTTGTATGATATAATCTTATATTATTATTTTTAAAGTGAAAGTTCTTCAACTTTCTTAATATTTTATTAATAGTGAAGATTTATAAATGAACTACTAGTAATTAGTGAGGAAGAATATGTACCAAGTCACTACTCTATACCGAATATATATTGTGTATATATGTTTGCATGCATGCATGTATCTATACATGTACTTATACATGTAATGATGCATAATGATTAAAGAAAAAATAACTCTTAAATAAATTAATTATAAATTTGAGTAAAATTATATTTTTATATATTCTATTTAAAAAATATATTATTTTATAATTATAAACTATTGTAAGATTAATTTATAATTACAAAAAAAAGACATGAGTTAGTTCACATATAACCTGTGTTATCGTTTTTTTTTTAATTTAGAAACTAAAAATTTATAATTTTTAATTTAATAAAATTAAATATTTAACTCTATAGTATATTATTAAAGTTGTATTGATTTAATTGGATTAATAAATATATTATGTTTCTAATCAAACAAATATTATGAGGTTTATTTTTAGTTAGAATAATTACAAGATTAATAGAAATGAAATTGAATGTTTTAATTTTAATTTTTTTTAAAAGTTTTAGAAACCGGGAGGTATTATACATAATTTCTGTTCTACTTTCTAAAAAAAGATTTATATATATATATATATATATAGAAGATTACAAGAAAAAACTCATGCCATTAGAAACTGATAAAAAACGGGAGGTAGAGATGCGAAGATGGAGGCAGTAGGTGGTGGTGCAGCAGCAGCAGCCACTCATGCACAGAAACTGCTAAACAGAAGTCATGGTTATCCATGGAAGTCCATGGAAATAAGATGGTTAAGCAGAAAAAGAAGCAGCACAACAAAATCATTAAACGACCTCCGCCGCAATTTAAAATCTTCATCGGTAGCACCGCCATTAATGATGCCTGTATATATCTCCACCCAGCCAATACACATCGATCCTCAACAACTGAGAGAGCTCTGCACCACCTGTAATTACTCCTGCCATCGCTTCCCCAAATTTGAACCCGAAGACGGCAGAGTTGAAGAATTGATAGACGTCGACAAGCTGCGAATTGCTCTCTCTCACAGCTCCATCCTCGTCTCCGTCTTCTGCAGGCCTCAAGATGTTAATGACGAAATCGATTCTTATTCCTTAAACGTAGAAAGGAGAGAAAAGGAAAGGGGTCCTCTCGGAGACTTGCTACAGAGAGTGATTCCGGTCAGTCCTTCCAATGGCCAGCTTGTAGGTTTTGGCCGGGCCGTCTCTGATTGTGGATTGACTGCTTCCATTTACGATGTTATGGTACTTTCTCTTTTTTTTTTTCAATCAACCGATTTATCTGTTGCCGGAATCAGATTTGACACTTAATAGACGATGCTATTATGTATAATTTGTTCAAATTTCATTCAGGTTATTCCTCCATTGCGCAGAATGGGAATTGGAAAACTGATTGTTCAAAGGATTGTGAGGTAATTGGTTGATGGAAAGGCTTCATTCTTTTCTTGTTTTTTCAATTCTTATTCTTAACATTTCTCATTTCCTTCTTTCTAGGATGCTGACAAGTAGAGACATCTATGACATATCAGCTCTTTGTTCAGAACATGAGAGGTGATTCAACTTATCTTTCTTAAATCTTCAACCTGGGTTGCCCAAAATCTCTTTCAAGTTTCCTATTTTCCCATTAATATGTGAAATTAAGCTATGAATTCAAGCATTCTTATATTCCCCCAAAATGTTTTAGGACTATTAAATTGCATATTGGCAATAAAAGTCGGAAAGTTTTCTAATTGCTGGGACTTGGGAGAAAAAGTAACGGAGAGAACCTTCATATTTGGGCTGTTCAAAGCAAGCCTGGGGATGTCTATTATCTTCCTAATCAAGATGTTGGGTCACTTTTTATCAACTTAAACTTTTGGTATAATTGGTCTGACACGCAAGAGAGTGCATATTAAAATACAAATAATAGATTGGATATCTTTCTATTAATTTCAGCTTTGGGACTGTTGGTATATCACTATTATTTTAAGAGTTTCTACACATGATGATAATGGGCATAAAGAGAAAAAGTAATAACTGCTTATCATGATCCTCAAAACTTCTCTCAGGTTGTTCTTCAAAGCGTGTGGATTTGGAGATGACATATTGGGTTCCACTACAATGATGCACACTAGGACTGTCACAACTAGTGGTGAAGATAATCAATTCGTGGGACATGAGATCTGAAAACTCCTGTTAGTTCCACCACTTTGGTAAACTTTTTCATCTTTGAAGCCTAACAAATAGTAAAACTATGCCTTCCTCTGAAGTATTCAGATGGCTAAATCAAGAAAATCCTATCAAGAATACTAGCAGCAGAGTGAATTTGATGCTCTCTCTGCTTATGACAGATTATAAAGTGAAGTTTTACCCCCTTTCTCCCTTTTCTTATCGCCATCTGGAAAAATATTAACTTTTTGACTAGGAGCTCTGGCCTTTTTTTCCCCCCCTTTTCTAAATTTTACCGGCCACATAATCAGTGAGAATCTTTTTCATTGCATTAGGTATACATTTTAGTCCACATTTTTGGGCCATATGAACTGTAATCTTATCTAGATTCCTGCCCATCTGTGATACACTTTTTAGAAAAAAACGTTGACAAAAAGTAACACAGATTGGGCATATTGCTCAACAAAAGTAAAGTAGCCCCCCCCCCTTCTAGTAATGCAAAACTTGGAAGAGCAGCTTGGCATCAGCTTTTATCTTTTTTATTTTAATTTTAATTTTTAATTTTTAATTTTTTTGGGAGAGAGGAGAGAAAGAACCTTAACAGAGTTCTCTGATCATCTTGATCTTCCCTCTGTTTTCCTTCAATGGGAAAGATATGTGTTGAAGTTTGTCTGATTTCTGGACGGGGGCTTAGGCGGTCGTCCTCATTTTGGAAGCTCCAATGGTTTGCTGTTGGATGGATTGATCCTAACAACAAATATTGCACCAGAATTGATGCTTCTGGGAATGCGAATCCTGTATGGAAAACCAAGTTTTCTATATCAGTTGATGATTCAAACTTGCAAGATATTATGCTTCATGTTGAAGTGTACAGCAGGGAACCCTTTTTCCTAAGGGAAAAGCTCCTAGGGACTGCCACTGTGGCCTTGAAAGAATTTATGACAAAGCACAGCAAAATTTCTGAGGAGTCTGCAATGTCAGGAACAGAGGAAGCAGGGAGCTACCAGTTGCGCAAAGGAAATTCTAGTAAACCTCAAGGGTTTGTTGATATTTCAGTTCGTATCTTGAAAGAAAGGGAAGAACCAAGTTCATTCTCAGGTATTCTGAGATTGATGTTAGATTCATCTTTGTCAGTAATTACAATTAAACTGAGCTGTTGACAGGATTTAAATCTGGGGAGACTGTTTTTCGTCTCTCCATTTCCTACATTATTTATGATAGCAGCTAGAATTGGGGCAATTCTATGCTGCCTCTTCCGATTATTTTTCTATTTGGAGATACTGGTTTTTACTTAGATTTGACTATATTTTGTTATACTTTGGCTATAATTTGTGACCATCCATTTTTACTACATACTTTTAAAGTTTGTATATAATCTTTAAATGAGTGCTTACTGGATATGACTTTTTGTTTGCAGGTGAGGGAGGACTCCTGCTGATGGATCATAGCAATAATATTGCAGTGTGGCCGGTAGGTGGATCAGGGGAAGCCTACTTTTCTGGTCCGGCACCACTACCTTCAACCTCAGCCCACCCACCACATAGTCCGTCACAGAACAATTTTCGATATAATCATCCAGTGGCATGTCCTCCAAACCATTCAAACCTGTTGCAGGGAGGACCAAGCTATTCAGCTGGTGGAAATTATTATCAACCCCCACGAACTCCTCCTCCACCACCTCCACCTTCTAATGTTGGATACATACCTATGTTTCTTCCAAGAACTGAGAATTATGTTAACATGCCATCATCTGGAACAGCACCTGGACGAGGGCCAGGGCCTGGATTTGGCATGGGAGTTGGAGCTGGAGCACTAGCAGCTGGTGCCATAATCTTTGGTGATGACTTCTTGTCTGGATTTGATTTTCCTGGAGGCTCACAAGATGCTAGTCTTACAATATCAACTGATCCTCCTTTTTGATAAAGAAGTGATTGTATCCTGTAATAACATCACCTGTTCAATAAGATGCTTCTTTTTAAAGTTTTAGTTGTCCTAGTATCAACTCTTAGCTATTGGAAAATTAATGTTGTTTATGTTAAGCAGTCATCATCTTCATTACCTAACAAATTGAAAGTTACGGCAGTTATACTTTCACTCCATAGTTTTGAAAAATACGATTCATCATAGAAGTTATTCTAATGGAATTTGGAGAAAAAGCTTTGGACTGCCAAAACATTTTGATGAAAGACTTATCCACTCCTAGCTAAAATGAACATGAATTTTGAAATAAATTTCACAAAATGTCATTTGTTCCAAACATAGCCTATTTTCAAGTTGACTAATAAAGGTAGTTGGCTGTGAATGTACAACTATCAGACAACTGAATGTACTAATTTCAATAAGACTAGGCATAACCATTCATTCCCTGTGTATCAAGAGATGGCAATAGGAATAGGCACAACCATTCAATCCCTGTGTATAAAGAGATGGGGTGGAGAGGGGGATTCTTTCTGTGGGCTGGTAAGGATATGTGAATTCACCTTCTTTACAACTTCCACAAGCAAAATTTGTACGGACAAGAGCTTAAGGAGCAGATCTTCCTTCTCTGCCTAAAAGTTCCTGAAAACATTTGATACACCAGAAGATTAACTTATTATTAACAAACAATAAAAATCTCCATAATATCCTCCCTCTCTCTCTCTCTCAATCTCACAATACCAGCTTGGTTGCAGCAATTGATAATCGCTGCCTTTCTCTCTTTTCACGTTGGCACTCCCCGCACCAGCTTGAGCAATCATCTTTCAGATATTTCTTCAGCTCCCGAAAAATCGAACTGAGAGAAGATTGTATATGGAGTTTGAGTAAAATTAAAATAGTATACAAATATCCATTATGTCCAAAAACTACACAGGTAGCAGAAACGTAGATACTTTTGCATTTGTCTCCAGATTCTAAATATCTCAAACTTTTAAGAATATATTTCAGCTGAGGTTCAGCATCACTATTGACTAAGGTCAATTCCAAATGCACAAGTAAATTCTATTTCCCATGTTATTTTAAAAAAAAAAATTCTATTTGCCATGGAAAAAAGTGCCAGTTACCTGCCTAATAAAATGAAAGCTCTCAGCCTTCCATAACAAATTAAAAGACAGAAAAAACATGAATGGCTTTCTCCAACAAAGCTCCTTAATAGCTCCAGAAGATATAGACTACATTTCTGCTAATCACTGTTATATGCTAAAACTTTAGTATGTTAATCAAGCACTATATGCCAATACTGGCAAATAAATCATAAAAAAGCTATAGATACTCTTTCAAAATGATGCTTCAGAATGATTACACTAAGAAAAAAAATATTACTTGATTGGAAGAACAAATCTAATAACAGATACAGAGAACTAAATATTCTTTTCAAGAAGTTCAGAATTGACTAGGATTGCATTGCACAATCTCCATCACCCCGGATATTAAATTTCAAGTCACAAATTATTTCCATTATTGTGCTACTTCAAACTTCACTGGGGCAGTGAATGTTGCTTTAAATCTTCATTTTATCTTGTAATTATCAAAGGGATGGATGCTGGACTTTCTAAATTACAATATGTTTGAGCCCCTATGAAAAAAGATGACAACAAGACATGCAAGTGCACCTTAAATGCTTATTTAAAAGAATCAAGACGGTAGATGGCATTATTTTTGTTTTCTCCACCCATGAGGCAGCTTGTGCAGATATCAGACTTTCAAGGGAGCTTATACAGGATCTGCAGGCTACAGATTCTATAATTTTAATAACAAATAGATGAAAAAGATACCTCCTGCACCACAAAATTAAGTTGACGCGATGCCCGAATGTTGTGGCTCTAGCACCATGTCGGTGTCGCCCACGGTGAAGAACTGCACATCCCGGGACATGAGAATAATCTAAAATTTCCTAGTAACACACAGTAAAAAGAATCAATCACAAAACCACTTTGTTAATTAAAATTAGAAAAAAGAAGAGGTTCCATACGCAAGAAGGTACTATTAAAAGACAATGAAATAGTCAACGCTAAGGTTTTCTTTACTTGCTTTCATTTTGAATAGAAAGTAATCAAAGAAGAGAAGCAATGTGAAATTTATGGGAATGTTAACAATTTTTACAATTATTTTCAATGCAAAGGAAGAAAAAAATCATAGTTGACCGAAAGAGATTGCAAAGCCAAGCCTGTCTAGTTGCTCCTTAATCATGTTGACTTTAGAGAGACCAAATCACACTTATTAAGTCAAATGTGAAGATTGCATGAAGCTAGTGAAATTCAAGTGATCCTTAGCCTTTGCTAGCATTGCTTGTCGAACAGGTATTTATATTGATATGAAAGCTAAATTACTGGGCCCAAACAAAAAAAGAAGTAAAAAATCACAAATATTAGCATACCTCAGGTTTAGTTTCTGTATTCACATGCCTATCACACCGAATGCCACGAAAGAACAGTTGCCCACCAGAAAATTGTCTTCCCAAGCAGACGTTCAAGGTGACTTCTGAGTCATCCACATGAAATCCTACAGATAGAAAGCTGCTAAGATTTCATAAAAACTTATGAAGTCCTACTTTAGTGCCCATAATTGAAGAAAAAATAACAAAACCTGTGAGACAAAGAAAAATTGTAGAACATTATTAAAAAATAGTATATAAGTACTTACCAAATAAATGTTTTCACAAGTTTCTTTTTCTTTTCAAAATATGAGATGTTTTCAGAAATAGTATTATACAGACAAAAAATGCATTACTAATTAAAAAATAGTATATAAGTACTTACCAAATAAATGTTTTCACAAGTTTCTTTTTCTTTTCAAAATATGAGATGTTTTCAGAAATAGTATTATACAGACAAAAAATGCATTACTAATTAAGTGGCACCAAAACAAAAATATAACAGCACAAAAATCTCACCAAGACCAGAAAGGAAATTGTGCAGAGCAAAAACTCAACTTCACTATTCGTAGTTAATTAAGCGTTTGTTTATTTAAGAATGAACAATTCAACAACATAAAAAATTTATAAAAAACGTGTTTTATGGATAAACAAAATCCTATAAAGTATTTCTAATTGACATAATGAATTTTCTTTCTTGCAGATATTTCATTATGAATAGTTAAGCATACTGCTTCTTCCTTTTCATCTCATTTTGAAATGAAAAGCAGATGAAAAGAATTGAAGCGTTTAACTCTATCAGAATAACATGGCAAAGAATCAATATCTCTATGTTAAACTTAATGGAAAAAGGAGAGCAAGGTTGAAACGAGCACCTACCAAGCTCAACATCTCTATCAATTCCATATTCAACAATGAAACCATGATGATAATCCAATGTGGATCCACCAACTTCAGGAAAGAAAACTGCAAAGAATCAAACCAAAAAAGAATGAGCCTAATCCATAACCTCAATTGTCTATTATTATGTCTATTTTCTTTTTTCTTATAAACATTAAGGGAAAAGATAATACCCTTGGATATAGGTTTTATATAGACATCCATCAATTGGCCAAGCATGGTTTCAAAGCCAAAATCATCTAGAACGACACCATATTCATTCATTGTATTTGGGCGCATGATTCCACAATTTACTGCATGGACCCACCTTTCAAAATTCTCTACCTAACCAATTATAGTTAGATAAGAAAAGATGACTTGTATTTGAAAAAATAAATTGAGGAAAAGAGACTACACCTCAGACAACAATAATCTGCAAAATTTTGGTTGAAGCATTTCAAATGTGAAAATTCCTGGAGTTTGTTCAGCCATTATACTCCTAAAACTCTCCTCCGTATTCTCTTTAATGGCTCTGAGAAACGAAGGGACAAAGAAGCTTTCTGCATTCATTGTGTACAGCTCCCGATGCTTACTCTGCAGAGAAAGAAAAAATGAAGGAAAACATGCATGCCAGTGCAGATGCAGAATCCTAAAATGCGGTCAGCAGAAAGGAGAACTTTGTGCATTCCACGGGAATCAATATCTCCTCTGACCTTTTACTTATCTGTTCCCATATCTGTAAAATCTGAGCACCAATGCAGCACACATTTTTTTTTTTTTTTTTAAAGAAAGGAGGAGTTATTCAGAAAAGTGCATGAAGGTGCCAGCAAAGAATGCAAGGGTTTCCTTTATGTATTTACCTTCAAATGCCATTTTATATCTAGCCATATATATGTCAATAATCTATCAGATATTAGCGATTTATAATCCATTTTACATCTAGATATATATATGTCAATAACCTATAAAAACCAACCAACAAAAATCCATCTCATGAATACCTTGTAATTCGATATAATCTTCTGCCTGTATCCTTTAAGTTCTTGAATCTGTTCAAAAGCAAAGACCATAAGCGATAGTTTGACCAGATTGAAGGAAAAACAAACATGCAAGCACACAAAAGGAAAAAGGGAACAGTATCCGCAAACGAGCAAAAGAAGATGCATCAGAATAGAGACTATAAGAAAGATCAGCCATTAGGCCACGTGCATCATGATTACCATCCAGCCATACGCTCCATGGGTTACTATCTTCCTGAGTTTGGATGAGAGAACGTGGAAAGCAAACAAATCCCTTGTCAGTCACGCCACATAATGACAACAGAGACGCAAAGGTAAATTAACTGCACAATCACCAGTTTTCATGCTCGGTAATTCAAGAATAATTTATTGACCATTTAGTTAAATGTTACTATCACTTTTGTCTTCTGCCTAGCCACTGCAGGGTTCAAACGTCAATTGACTGCAAAAGCAGTCTGGCATATCCAACCCTAAAAACAAATACAACTTTGGTAGAAGGCTCAGCCAATGAGAAGTGACAAAATCAACTCCAGAAAGCAAGGCTATATAGCCTATTCAACTCATCGCTCAGCTTAGTATTTGTATTTTCCGTTTTTTGTAAGAATGGCCAAGTTAGGAAAAAGATAATAGTAGTTTATACAATATTAAATGAGGATCCCTGCGCAAATGTCCCTGGCAGAGAAACCTGTTTGAAAGAAGCCCAATCAGACTGTAAAAATCTCACCAAAACTAAATATGATGAAGAATGCAGGAATACCACAGACTAGACCCCGCAACACAAAGCAATTTGGGAAAATGAAAAACGCACGTAGAAGCAGTACAAATGTATTGCTTCCTTATTTTCATATACCAAACGTACATATTTGCTCTCTTTCCAAACAGATTCTTGTTCAAATCTCAAACAGGATACGCCAGTAATTTTGCATATCACGCTGACACGAAGAACCACATAAAGGCAGGAACACGCATATACACATTGAATTTACTTGTACAGACACGGATATGCACATGTATACATTAATACACAGACATGCAATTCATTGCAATTTATACTTACACGAATACGCTCACTCTCAGGCAAGTATCGGTTGAGAATGTCCTTCATGTACTGAGCCTTAGCATCCCGTGACATAGAGAGCATGGAGTATGGCAAGTACCTCTCAAGGGAGCTGAAGAGGAGGGGACTGAAATCCAATTGGAGGTCATCGTAGCTATCGGGGTGGTGGTCCGTATTAGGCTTCAGTCTCAGCCTGCTCATAGTCAAAGAACCGATTCCGTTTTCATCCCCCTTTCTCACGATCGCCTGCTGAGGTTGCAGTTCCTTTCTTCCCTCCATGGAAGCGTCCATTGACATCATTTTCCTTCTACAGAGATCAAGAGGTACCGATCAGATTCCTAGAGAGATTGTTTCAAGCGCAAGAAACTGAATGCACCATTTTTCCCTTCTTCCCGAGCAATGAGAGCCGTTAGTGGGTGTGAATGTAATTTTGGGGATTATGAGGACGAGGGAAGAAGAAGCGGTAGTTTGTACTGCAGGTTAGGGTCACGGCGTATTTTAAACGCAACGAAATTTGAATCAGACCGGTTAATTTCATGTCGGTTTTTAACTAAAATCGAACCAATTTAATTCGCATTGAGTCAGATTTTTTTTTTTTAATTATCGGATCACTTTACACTCAAGTTCGAACTTAAATTCGATTCGGTATAATACACATAATTTATATAAATTTTAATACAAAATATTTTGTTTATTAAAATTTATCTCAGTATTTTATACATTAATAAACTAATTATTTAATGTGTATATAAAATATTTTAGTTTATATATTTAAAACATAACAAGCGAATTTCCATTAAAAGCCTAAGTGGAGCAAATGTATAATTTATATAATTTATAACATTGACTTTAACAAAAATTCAAAGGTTCATTAAATATTTCCATCAATTTTTTATAATGGTGTACATTTAAATAGTTTGGTTTAAAGTTATTCAAATTATAATTTAAAATAAAGATTTTAATTTCAAATTTTATTTAAAGCAACCTCTACATAGATTATAAAAAAAATGAAAAAAAAATAAAATAATACACCATTATTATTGAACTGAGCTGTTGACAGGATTTAAATTTGGGGTAACTTTGTTTTTTTGTCTCCCCCCATTTCCTAAATTATTTACGACAGCAGCTTAGAATTTGCCTCTTCCGATTATTTTTCTATTTGGAGATACTGCTTAGATTTGACTATATTTTGTTATACTTTTGGGTATAATTTGTTACCATTCATTTTTACTTCATACTTTTAAAGTTTGTGTATAATCTTTAAATGAGTGCTTACTGGGATATGACTTTTCGTTGCGGGGGAGGGAGGACTCCTGCTGATGGACAATAGCTATAATATTGCAGTGCGTCCGGAAGGTGGATCAGGGGAAGCATACTCATCTGGTCCGGCACGACTACCTTCACCCTCAGCCTGCCCACCCCCATAATCTGTAACAGAACAATTTTCGATGTAATCATCCAGTGGCATGTCCTTCGAACCATTCAAACCTGTTGCAGGGAGGACCAAGCTATTCAGCTGGTGCAAAATTGCTATCAACCTCCGCGAACTCCCCCACCACCACCCCTAAGTTTCTCCCAAGAACCGAGAATTATGTTGATATGCCATCTGGAACAGCGCCTGGACGAGGGCCGGGCCTTGGATTTGGCATGGGAGTTGGAGCTGGAGCACTAGCAGCTGGTGCTGTGATACCTGGTGATGAGTTTTTGTCTGGATTTGATTTTCCGGGAGGCTCACAAGATGCTAGTCTTACAATTAAACAACTGATCCTCCTTTTTTATAAAGCAGTGATGGTATCTTGTAATAACATCATCTTGTAATAGTATCAACTCTCAGCTATTGGAAAATTATGATTTTCATATCAAGGAGTCATCATGTTCATTACCTAACAAACTAAAAGTTAATGCGGTTATAATTTCACTCCATAGTTTTTGAGGTTTTGGAGACTATCAGAACATTTGGAAGGAAGACTTATCCGTTCATAGCTGAAGTAAAAAAGAATTTTCAAATAAATTTCACAAAATGTCATTTGTTCCAAACATAGCCTATAATTCAAGTTGACTAACAAAGGTCTACTTGGCTGTGAATGTACAACTATGAGGCGATTGAATGTATTCCAGTTTCAATAGGAATAGGCACAAACATTCATTCTCTGTGTATCAAGAGATTGGCAATAGGAATAGGCACAACCATTGATGATTCCCTGTTTACAAAGAGATGGGTCGGGAAGGGGGATTCTTTCTGTGGGCCGGTAAGGATATATGAATTTACCTTCTTTACAACTTCCACAAGCAAAATATGCAAGGAAAAGAGCTCAAGGAGCAGATCTTCTTTCTCTACTTAAAAGTTCCTGAAAAAATTTGACACACCAGAAGATGAAGTAATTATTAGAGAACAATAAAAATCTACGTAATATCCCCCCCTCCTCTCTCTCACAATCTCACTATACCTGCTTGGTTGCAGCAATTGATAATCGCTGCCTTTCTCTCTTCTCATCTTGGCACTCCCCACACCAGCTTGAGCAATCTCTCTGATATCTCTTCAGCTCCCGAAAAATAGAACTGAAAAAAGATTGTATAGGGAGTTTTGAGTAAAATTAAAATAGTGTACAAAACTTATATCCATTATGTTCAAAAACTACACAGCTAACGGAAATGTAGATATGTTTGCATTTGTCTCTAGATTCTAAAACCCTCAACCTTTGAAGAAGATATTTCAGATGAGGTTAAATTCAATTCTCCATGGAAAAAGGTGCCACTTACCTACCTGAAAAAAGGAAAGCTCTCAGCCTTCCATAACAAATTAAAAGACAGAAAAAACACGAATGGCTTCCTCCAACAAAGCTGCTTAATAGTTTCAGAAGGTATAGACTATATATCTGCTAATCACTGTTACATAATGTTCTCTATACCAGTTAGAACTTTATGATGTTAATCAAGAACTAGTATATGCCAATAATGGCAAATGAAATCATAAAAAAGCTATTAGATACTCTTTCATAATGATGCTTCAGAATGATTCCCCTAGGAAAAAAAATATTAGTTGACTGGAGGAACAAATCAAATGAAAAGATACAGAGAAGCAAATATTCTTTCCACGAAGTTGGGAATTGACTAGAATTGCATTGCACAATCCCCGTGATCCCGGATATTAAATTTCGAGTTGCGAATTATTTCCATTATTATGCTACTTTAACCTTCACTGGGGCAGCTAATGTTGCTTTAAATCTTCATTTTATCCTGTAATATCAAAGGTACAGATGCTGGACTTTCTAAATTATCAGAATATGTGCGAGCCACTATGAAAAAAGATGATAATATGACATGCAACTGCACCTTAAGTGCTTATTTAACAGAATCATGAAGGTAGAAGGCACTGTTTTTGTTTTTTCCATCAAAGAGGTGGGTTACGCAGATATCAGACTTTCAAGGGAGATTTCACAGAATCTGCAGGCTACAGATTCCATAATTTTAATAACAAATAGATGAAAATGATACCTCCTGCACCACAAAATTAAGTTGACGCGATGCCCGAATGTTGTGGCTCTAGCACCATGTCGGTGTCGCCCACGGTGAAGAACTGCACATCCCGGGACATGAGAATGATCTAAAACCTCCTATTAACACACAATAAAAAGAATCAATCACAAAGCCACTTTGTTAATTAGAATGAGGAAAAAGAAGAGGTTCCATACGCAAGAAGGTACTACTAAAAGACAACGAAATATTCAAGGCTAAGGTTTTCTTTACTTGCTTTCATTTTGAACAGAAAGTAATCAAAGAAGAGAGAGCGTAAATTTATTGCAGCTAACAGTTTTTACAATTATTTTTTATGCAAAGGAAGAAAAGAAATCATCATTGGCACAAAGAGATAGCAAAACCAAGTCTTTCAAGTTGATCCTAAATCATGTTGACATTAGAGAACCCAAATCATACTTATTAAGTCAAACGAGAAGATTGCATGAAGTTAGTGAAATTCAAGTAATCCTCAACCTTTGCTAGCATGGCTAGTCGAACAGGTATATATATTGATATGAAATCTAAATTATTGGGCTCAAACAGAAAATAGGCAAAAAATCACAAATATTAGCATACCTCAGGTTTGGTTTCTGCATTCACATGCCTATCACACCGAACACCACGAAAGAACAGTTCCCCGCCAGAAAATTGCCTTCCCAAGCAGACATTCAAGGTGACTTCTGAGTCATCCACATGAAATCCTACAGACAGAAAGCTGCTGAGAATTCATAAAAACTAATGAAGCCTAACTTTAGTTCCCATAATTGAAGAAAAAATAACAAAACCTGCGTGAGACAAAGAAAACTTGTAGATCATTATAAAAAATATTATATAAGTACATATCAAATAGATGTTTCCAGGAATAGTATTATACAAACAAAAAATGCATTACTAATTAAATGGCACCAAAACAAAAATATACCAGCACAAAAATTCTCACCAAGATCAGAAAGGAAATTGTGCAGAGTGAAAACTCAACTTATGTATTTATAGTTAATTAAGCATTTGTTTATTTAAGAATGAACAATTCAACAACAGATATTTCATTTTGAATAGTGTTTTATTGATAAATGAAATCAATAAAGCATTTCTAATTGACATTATGGATATTATTTCTTGCAGATATTTCGTTTTGAAGAGTTAAGCATACTGCTTCTTCTTTTTCATCTCATTTTGAGATGAAAATAAGATGAAAAAAACTGAAGCGTTTTAATCTCTCAGAATAACACTGTCAACCTTTCGAAGAATAATGCTCTGTCCTTCAATGTTAAACTTAATGGAAAGAAGGAAAGCAAGGTTGAAACGAGAACCTACCAAGCTCAACATCTCTATCCGTTCCATACTCAACAATAAAACCATGATGACAATCCAATGTGGATCCACCAACTTCAGGAAAGAAAACTGCAAAGAATCAAACAAACAAGAATGATCCTAATCCACAACCTTAATTGTCTATTATTGTCTCTATTTTCTTTTTCTTGTAAACATTAAGGGAAGAGATAGTACCTTTGGATATAGGTTTTATATAGTCATCCCTCAATTGGCCAAGCATGGTTTCAAAGCCAAAATCATCTAGAACGATGCCATATTCGTTCATTGTGTTTGGCCGCATGATTCCATAATTTACTTCATGGACCCACCTTTCAAAATTCTCTACCTAACCAATTAGAGTTAGATAAGAGAAGATGACTTTTAGGTTGAAGAAAAAAAGTGAGAAAAGAGACTATACCTCAGACAACAATAATCTGCAAAATTCTGGTTGAAGCATTTCAAATGTGAAAATTCCTGGAGTTGGTTCAGCCATTATACACCTAAAACTCTCCTCCGTATTCTCATTGATGGCTCTGAGAAACGAAGGGACAAAGAAGCTTTCTGCATTCATTGTGTACAGCTCCTTATGCATACTCTGCAGAGAAAGA